TAAACTTTTCATTTAATCTTATCTAATAAAAGAGAAACATGCAAATTGACAGTACCTCCACTACACTCACAAGCCACGCCCGCCCGCCAATCAGAGCGACTATATGCAAATTAACCCAACCAAGATAGCAGCCAGCAGCCACGGAGCTGTAGCAAGCAGGAGGCTTGGTTGCCTCGGCGATGGAGGAAGCCAAGCTTCCTGCCTGCCCTGGCCGGCTGTAGCCTCCGCTCAAGGCAACAAAGTTTCAATTATAGAAGATAAATAAATCCCAGATACCTACTTCCAGCCAGCCTCGCTGGGAGCTTGGGTCACTGGGGGCCGTGGCCAGCCTGCAAACAGCCATCAGCCCCTAACCCAGGATGGCCACACCCTCATGAGATGAAGGTCCCCACTGCGGGGCTATGGCCAGCCTGCAAACAGCCATCAGCCCCTCACCCAGGCTGGCCAGGCACCCCAGCAGGGACCCCCACCCTGAAGGGGCTGTGTCCAGCCTGCAAACAGCCATCAGCCTCTCACCCAGGCTGACCAGGCACCCCAGCGGGAACCCCCACCCTGAACAGGGTGTGGCCAATCTGAAAACGGCCCTCAGCCCCTCACCCAGGCTGGCCAGGCACCCCAGCAGGACCCCCACCCTGATCCGGGACACCCTTCAGGGCAAACCATCTGGCCCCCACCCATGCACCAGGCCTCTATCCTATATAATAAAAGGGTAATATGCAAATTGACCCTAACAGCAGAACGACTGGGAATAACTGGTCACTATGACACACACTGAACACAAGGGGGCAGATACTCAATGAAGGAGCTGCCCCCTGGTGGTCAGTGCACTCCCACAGGGGGAGCTCTGCTCAGCCACAAGCCAGGCTGATGGCTGGCATTACAGCGGTGGTGGTGAGAGCCTCTCCCGCCTCCTCAGCAGCGCTTAGGATGTCCGACTGCAGCTTAAGCCTGCTCCCTGCTGGCAAGTGGACATCCCCTGAGGGCTCTTGGGCTGCCAGAGGGATGTCTGACTGCCAGCTTAGGCCCAATCCCCCAGGGAGCGGGCCTAAGCCAGCAGGTGGACATCCCCCGAGGGGTCCCAGACTGTAAGAGTGCACAGGCCGGGCTAACGGACCCCCCGAGTGCACAAATTTTTGTGCACCGGGCCTCTAGTTGTAACATAAGCATATTAGCTTGATGAATTTTTTACAAACTGAACACATCCATGGAACCAACCCCTCTCAGAAGCACCCTGAAGCGCCTTCACTTTCCTTTGCAGCCACTAGCCCATGACTTCCCAGCCACAAATAACGGCTATCTGACTTCTGACACCAAAGATTAGTGTCCTTGCTTTTGAACCTCATTTCAATGAAATCATTAAGTATGGTTTTGGTGTTTGGCTTCTTTTGCTCCATAATAGGTTTGTGACATTTATGTACTATGTTATTAACTTTCATAGCTATATGGAGTGCTACTTTATTAATATCCTACAATTTATTATCCAGTCTGTAGTCGATTGACATGTGGGCTGTTTTCACATTGGAGCAATTATGTATAACGGTGCTATGAACTTTCTTGGCATGTCTTTAGGTAAACATGTGTACTTATTTTTATTGGGTATATACCGCAAAGTAAAACTGCAAGTCAAAATATATACATATGCCCAAGTTTGTTAAGTACTACTAATAATCAATTTATTGTGCTGTATACAATGACATACAACAATGTACCAATGATTACAATGTAAAGTTGCACCAATATTTATTCCTTGTACCGATGTAGTTCTTCTTCCTTTATTCCTCTTCGCGTATTTCAGGCAGATATCTAGTGTTTGTAATTCTTTGCTTTAGGGTTCAGGGCTAAGTATAAACCAGAAACAGGTTGCAGTTAATGCCCTTCTCATTTTTAAAGCCTAAATTGACTGGAGAGATAGTATTGATTGGCCAGGAAGAGTAGATTCTTTTTTTTTTTAATATATTTTATTGATTTTTTACAGAGAGGAAGGGAGAGAGATAGATAGTTAGAAACATCGATGGGAGAGAAACATCGATCAGCTGCCTCCTGCACATCTCCCACTGGGGATGTGCCCGCAACCCAGGTACATGCCCTTGACCGGAATCGAACCTGGGACCTTTCAGTCCGCAGGCCGACGCTCTATCCACTGAGCCAAACCGGTTTCGGCAAGAGTAGATTCTTTTAATGAGAACTAAGAGGGCAAGGAGTGCAAAAGACTGAGAGAGATTCCCTTGGTCAGAACTAGGATGGAGGCCCAGGGGTCTAGGAGATAGCAGAGCCTAGAGGATCTGAATAGCGACTTATGCTTATTTTAGTAAAGTGACTATATCATTTGTTGTCCAAATCCAGACGCCTGAGAGTGATAGGGTGTGTAGTAATAATTACAGTGATAATGGGTGGAAATCTGCACTTTTCCAGGCAAACTGGGATTATTTTGGGTGGCCTCCGTGGAAACTTGTAAGTGCAGTTGCTCACGTCTTTGAAAGTTTCTTAGAATCTTCACGTAGCAGATCGTAGGGAGAGCAGCTTTGTCACTGGAGATGCCCGGATTAAAAATTTGAGGTACAACTCCTGTTACACCCTGAGCCTGCACACGTTTATAAAGTGAATTCATGCAGGTGAGTGTGCGTGCTTTCTTACTTATTCATGGAACATTTTGATCTTCTCCTATATAGCAAAGGCCTGTGTGGCCCTTAGTAGAGCTGAGAGCAGGTGGTCTTCGTGGTGGTGGCGTCTCCACTGTTCTGAGCAGCTCATTGAGCTAGAAACACGTTGTATGAGGTGCTCTCTCTGTAGCACCTGCAACTCTGATCTAACTTTTTGTTGTTGTTGTTGTTGTTGTTATTATTCTCAAAACTCCCTTCAGAAACTTGGGAAGGAGCCCTGACTGGTTTTGCTCAGTGGATAGGGCGTCGGCCTGCGGACTGAAAGGTCCCAGGTTCGATTCCGGTCAAGGGCATGTACCTGGGTTGCAGGCACATCCCCGGTGGGGGGTGTGCAGGAGGCAGCTGATCGATGTTTCTCTCTCATTGATGTTTCTAACTCTCTGTCCCTCTCCCTTCCTCTCTGTAAAAAATCAATAAAATACATTTTAAAAACAACCAAAAAACTTGGGAATGGTGGCTAACATAAGTCTGGGACCACTCTCCCTTAAAGTAAGATTAAGTATTAGAGTTAATGAAGGAGAGGGAAAGCGAGGCCCCAACCTTCCACAGGAGGTCCCTGAAGTAAAAGGGAAGTGGGAACGGAACACCTGAGTCCCGAGGTGCTGCGTAAGCATCATGATCCCAGCCATAAACAAAGATTGCCATTTCTTCCCTGCAGGACCATCAGAAAAATTCCCAGGGGAAATTCTGCCTAATGAGGTGCCCGAGGCCATCCAGTAGCATAAAGCTCTCATGATATGCTAGCCCGGGTCCTGGTGAGATGGAAGGTCGCTATTTTTTTCTCCTGAAGTTGACTTAGACCAGCTGAGAAAGTCCACACAGAAAACTTGGTCTATTCCTAGAGCATCTGGAGACTGGGGTCTCCAGGAGCTCTGATTCTCAGCACCAGGGGCACCAGAAGAGTCCATACCTGAAAGCTGTCTGCTTTATGCACTAACACCATCTTCTCCTTCGGGCTAATGGAGAAAGAGACGCACACGGCCCAGCACTGAGGGAGCCAGGAAGAAGGAAGGGGAATGTCTAAATCCCATCTTCTCAGATGAGCTTCTTGTAAACCCACAACCAGCAGGTCTAGGATGTATTGATCCTTCCCCCGCTCTCAACACTGACTTTGATGGAGTGAAGGGGCTTATAGGAGGAAGGTGAGTAGGGGACAGAGGACCCCATGTCTGGCTGGGAGAGGGAGGCAGAGAGGGAGAGACATAAGAGCTCTCCGTACATCCTAAAGCAGTGGGCTGTGGGTTGTACTCCTGGCTCTTGGGGTGTCTTTCTGGGAGTCCTTGGGCAGCCAAGTGAGGTATTCAATCTCCTCATCTCTCAAGAGGGAACAGAATTCTTTTTTTAAAAATATATTTTTATTGATTTTAGAAAGGAAGGGAAAGGGAGAGAGAGATGGAAACATCAATGATTAAAGAGCATCATTGATCGGCTGCCTTCTGCACATCCTCTACTGGGGATCAAACCCACAACCCGGGCATGTGTCCTTTGACTGGAATCGAACCCAGGGACCCTTCATCCACAGGCCGATGCTCTATCCACTGAGCCAAACCAGCTAGGGCGGGAACAGAATTCTTGCTGCCCATGCTCAGAAACTCTAGCCTAGATTCATGATCACCCAGGGGACCTGAGATATAGTCACAGGCATGTTGTGAATAGCTAAGCTGGGGGCATAAATGAGAGAGCGTTACCAAACCAAAGTCCAAGGGCCCGATGCTTCAAAAGGCCAAAACTCAAAACATCAGGGTTTGAAGTAAGTAAAGGTTTATTGATTGAAAAGGTGCCAACCAAGACGATGGGGGACCTAGTGGTGCCTCAAATCCATCTTGCTTGCTGGACTGGGTTAAGGGTTTTTAAAGGGCTAAGGGGAACAGGTGTGCGGAAGTGCTGGTGGGACAAGTGTTCATTGGAGGACCTTGGAACTTGGCCATTTATGGTAAAGGGACATCAACACCAGATCTTCCTGGACAACAGACCCTTGGCTTCTGTTGTTCAAGGGTTCCGGTGTTCAAGTTCCGGTTATGTCCAGGTCCTTTGGTCCCATCGGGGTGGGGTCAGGGAGGGGGACGTGCAAGATTTTGGTTCCAGGTGCAGCTGGGGCCCAAGTTCTCTCATCTGTGCATGCTTCACCTGCATGACTTGTGGTTTTGGTCTGTTGTCTCTGAAAAGCAATTGAGCACCTCATCAAACAGAACAGAACCATTCTGAGCTGGTTCCACAGTTACAAGGAGAAAGACAAAAGGGAGGGCGTCTATACATGGTCTCATCTCTCCTATCATCCATGCTTGTGCCTATCACCAATCTATTGTATTTTACCCCTTGTTTCCACAGACAGCTCCCCAGAAGAGAATGGTTCTGAGAAACAGCTCCTCGGTGACCGAATTTATCTTTGGGGGATTCTCAGAACAATCGGAGGTCCATGTCCCCCTCTTCTTCCTGTTCTTAGGGCTCTATGTGCTTACTGTGGTGGGCAACTTGGGCTTGATCACCTTAATTGGTCTGAATTCTCGCCTTCACACTCCCATGTATTTTTTCCTCTTCAACTTGTCTTCGATAGATCTCTGTTATTCTTGTGTCTTTACTCCCAAAATGCTGCACGACTTTGTGTCAGAAAATATCATCTCTTACGCAGGATGCATGACTCAACTGTTTTTCTTCTGCTTCTTGGTCAATTCTGAGTGCTACGTGCTGGTATCCATGGCCTACGATCGCTATGCGGCTATCTGCAATCCTCTGCTGTACACGGTCACCATGTCCCCCCAGGTCTGTGCTGTGCTGATGTTGGGTTCGTATGCGGTAGGGTTGGCTGGGGCCATGGCCCATACCGGAAACATGCTGAGACTGACCTTCTGTGGTCCCAACATCATCGACCATTATCTGTGTGAAGTTCTCCCCCTCTTGCAGCTCTCCTGCACCAACACCCATGTCAACGAGCTGGTGTTTTCTATTGTTGTTGGAATTGTCATTGCAACATCCAGTATCAGCATCTTCGTCTCTTACGCTTTGATTCTCTCCAGTATCCTCCGCATTCCTTCTGCTGAGGGAAGGTCCAAAGCCTTTGGCACATGTGGCTCCCACATCACCGCCGTGGCTCTGTTTTTCGGGTCAGGGGCCTTCACCTACTTAACAACCTCTTTTCCGGGATCTGTGGGCCGGAGTAAATATGCTTCGGTCTTCTACACCAACGTCGTGCCCATGCTTAACCCTTTGATCTACAGTTTGAGGAATAAGGATGTTAAACTTGCCCTGGGCAAAACCCTGAAAAGAGTGCTTTTCTGATGGTTCTGTTTGTATCAGTGAATTACTGAGAAGCATCACAGTGTCTTTGTATCGACAGGTGGGGAGATTTTCATCTTGTTTCTCTAGGAGGGTCTTCTCCCCACTTTAAAAATTGGAAACGTCTTACTTATACTCTTCTTGGAGATTATACCAGGTTGTACTACTTAAACTGGCCCATTGTATGAATTTAGCATTGATTAAGTGGTTATAATTGACTTGACTCTATAGTAGGCCCAAGAGATTAATAAGATGAGGCCCCACACATTCCATCCTTTTCTCGGTAGGCTAACTGGGTTCTTGCCAGTGACATGTCCGGCTGGGAGATGGAGCAAATGGTGGTATGAGGGTCCAAGAGAGTGAATTTGTTTTTTGTGTTTTTTTTCTATAGGAGCAGCCTTAGCAAAGACCAAACGTAGATACCTTGGGGCCATAGGTAAGATAGTCTTCCAGTCCCCAGAAAGATTGCTTGGCTAGGAAGATCATACATGGTCTCTTTCATATACATAAATGTGAATGCAAGAGAAGGCTTCCCCTAAGAGTTCTTCACATAGTCTGAACTGTAAAGATAAAGCAAAACGAAAATATTTCATTTCCAAGTTCCCAGAACTCTTAGGCCTTGGAATAGTAACCATGGGGTAGGCGGTCTTCTAACTGGGTCAGTTCCTTGGGCTCTGGGTGCTGAGGCTGAAAGCAAAAGAAGAACAAAGGAGGGGCTCCATGGGCGCACATGACTATGTTCACTGCTACCTCTGTTCTGCCCTGGAGATCTGTGTGCATTAGGGAGGGTTTGGGAAAATTCTTCTGTCCTTTAAAGTACCTTTAGACTTTATTGTCTCTAAGAGCGTGTGTGTGTGCGCGTGTGTGTGTGACAGTTAACTATTAATGAATCAGGAAGAAAGAAAAGTCATATTACACTCTCAACTTGCGGGAAGACTTGGAAGGACCCAGAATTCGAGTCCAGAAACCACTCTGAACTACTCGGTTGAAGGTGCTGCTATTCTTGATGGAATAGCTTGGGTTTTGAGGAATACCTCCCCAGAAACTGCCCTGAGCATAGGCAGGAAGGTGAACCTTGGGCCAGACCTACCCCTGTGGAGAGGCGGGGGCGAATTTGAGGGGCCAAGAGACCCAAAAAGACCTGTTTCTACTTAACAGAAGAAACCCAAAACACTAATTTGAAAAGACACGTGCATATGTTTATTGCAGCATTATTTATAACTAGAGGCCCAGTGCATGAAATTCGTGCACTGGTAGGGTCCCTAGCAGCTGCCAGCTGTCAGCCGGGTACTCCCTCTCTTCCCCCTGGCTGGCTCCACCTCCTGGTCGAATTCCTGGATAACTCCCGGTTGAGAGGACAATTTGCATACTACTCTTTTATTATATAGGATACCCAATATATGGAGGCAACCTAATTTATCCTAAATTTAAAGTACAGCATAGGGAATATAGTCAATAATGTTGCAATAACTATGTATGGTGTCCAGATGGGTACTATAAAACTGGGTGATCACTTCATAAGATATACAAATGTCTAATTACTCTGTTGTACACCCAAAACAAATATAATATTGTATGTCAACTGTAGAAAAATAAAAACTTATTTTAAAAATAAATAAAACTAGAGAACATAAAAAACTATGTTCGTAACACATTCTATAAGCATGTTTAATCATTAATTAATCGAATATTTCATTTACTCAATAACTACTTTATTGTACTCCTACTATATTCCAGGTGTTGTAAATAAAACAACAAAGAAACACTTGTGCTAACATTCTAGTGATTTATTATATTGAAATCACTTGTTTATATTTGCGTAAATCATTTCTATTGTGATTGCCATGTCTTATCCATGTTTTCTTCCTGACACAACATAGTAAGTACCCAATAAATGTTTTTTCCCAATGAATTTTGCAAATTGAATATATTCAAACTGTTTTATTTCAATTTTGCTGTAAAAAACACCTTTATAAAAAGCTTATGCTTTAATAATGAGTTGAAAGTTTTACATAAGGAGCTATATAAAATCCATGGCTATACATTTTAGGGGCCTAAGAAAGATGCAAAATATAATCTTAAGCAAAATCCACTTTGCTGGGGGTTGGGGGGCTAAACAATGTTACTGAGTCACCAGCACCACCTGGTGGCTACTTAAGTGAACTGCTTGATTCAGTATTTGAAGTTTCTCTTGTGTCTCCATTCTTGCATTGACCCGGCCTTACGTATAAACCAATTCATAGTGTTGCATTGTATTGATGTACTGGGATTTATTTAAACTGGTCCCTCTTAATGACTATTATTTTCCCCGTTTTCTAGTATTATACCAAGCAATGCTGAAATTGATAATCATATTCCACGTGCATTGGCATAAACGTTCCTCATCTGTTGCCGTTTGACTTTGCCTTTGGTATACGCCAAGATCAATTTTGTTTAAAATTTGGTCACGTTGATCAGTCATTTCCTTTCTGGCTTGGGCTTTGTTTTATGCTTTAGAAAGACCTTCTCCTGAAATGATAAATAAAAATGATTCATCCACGTTTCTACGAGTACTTTCAAGACTTCCGTTTTACAGCCGAATCCCTGAAAAATGGACGAAATCCAGCCTGGAGCAGGGAACAGCTCTGGGAAGCGGGGACCGGCTCCTGGCCGGCCGGCGTCTGGGGGGGAGGGGGGGGGCGGAGGGGGATTGCAAGTCCTCTCCAGAGTCCGGAAAAGGTCAGCGCGTGCGGGGGAGTCTGTCCCCTTCCCGGCAGCGGCCTGAACACATTTTCAAGTTTCCCTTCTGCTGCCGGGGTCGTGTCCTGCCGCCCGGGAGCTTCGGGGCGAACGCCCCATCCACCTGCCCGGGGACAAGAGACGCGATCGTGGGTGGGCTGCGACGAGATGCGGCGTCTGGGCGGCCTCGGTGCGAACCTCGCCGGCCCGCGGTCAGGTCCATCCTGCGGACTTCCGTGCTGGTCCTCGGGCGCCATCTGGCGGCCTCGTTTAGGTAGGGTCTTCCCTCGGGAGCTCCAGCGAAATCTGCAATGGACGGGACGCGGCCGCGGTGCCCAACGTGGACATTCGGGAGGCCGACAGCGCAAACGGGATCGTCCCGTGGTGCCGCGGCGACGGCGCGTCATCTATTCGCCTAGATTAAACGGGCAGGGACACGAGGGGGTGTCCATTGCCGCTGTCCCTACAGGCTGCTGGGGCGGGTGGACCAGCACCCGCCGGTGCCTGTACCCCCGCGGGACCGACCGGGGCCGCC